CATCCTATCAATCAAAGGAATCTGGTTCCCCTGATTGCATGTAAGAAATTCAGTCGGAAGTGTACTTTGAAGAATTGTATACTTCTGTCTAAGGACGCCAAGCACACGTTCCACGTGAATGCGAACATTGGCAGTTTTTCGAGTTTTCTCAACGTCTACAGGATCTAGCTGATTTTTGCCTTTTGCAACTGCAGGGATGTTGATTACAGCTTGGCGAAAACACACTTCTTCATGGACCGTAAACCCTCGGTCGGCAAGGACGAGATCTCCAGGAACTAAGTTCTTTAAAAATCCACATTTCTTGCTTAAATTGTTGATTAAAGTTTGAAAATTCTTAGAGTTTTTTCTTTATACAAAGTTTAGGTCTTGTTTAACAAGACCGCGTCTTGAGCTATCTTAAATTCAACCGGAACTTTCATCTAAATATTTCATTTTTGTGATCAGTGTGAAGAGGAGCGAAAGTTTACGGTGAAAGGCCATTTATTTGCCAGGAGTGTGCTCGACAAACTTAAGGGCATAAAAGCGGATCTAGTCAGAGGACAAGTAGACTGGCAGGGCTGGGACTTCCCGCAATTCATAAAAGCTTTGAAAAGTCGGAAGGAGATCATTCCTGCACCGAGAATGCAGGGAAACTAAGTGCTAAATTCCGCGATCGGGAAAAAAACACTTTATGTAAACGAGGAGACATCACCAACGAAAAGGGGTTGTGATAATTTTGATGCAGCCGACCACAGAGCCGTCAATTGCAACAAGTATATCACCGTTGGAGACGGGAGGAAACAGCTAGGATTGAAACAACTTTGTTTCAATTGTACAGGAAGTCGACACTGCGCTTCTGAGTGCAAATGCCGTTCTGGCTGCCAGATCTGCAACCGAAGACATCATACGTCGACCTGCAACAAACTTACATCGCAAGACCAGCTTATTACCACAACGAGCGTAGAAGGGAAAGGAGTGGTGCATCCCATGATCACAAATGACGTGGATGGTTTTTAGTGTCAAGTACTGTTCGATACTGGGGAGCCAGAAGTTCTTACGCTGTATCAAAGCTTCTGGACTGTTTATATGTGCGTCCAATCCGTGAACAACTCAAGCGTATTGAAGTGATGTTTGGTACTTCAAGCAAACCGATAGATATCTACGGCCTACAAATTCTGCGGTCTTGGACGCCGAGGTAAACAAAGTCGAGCGTAAAGAGTTGCTGACATTTCAAAACCAAAAATTCACAGAAATAGTGGCGCAATTTTCTCATTTGAGGGGGCGTAACCACTGATGATAACGATAATCGGAACATGGAACAAACGAGTGCACTAGGATCAAAAAAGGAACATGACCAAGAGTTGGGCGCCTGGAAGAACCTGTGGTAGAATATACGAAGTTCGGCTGGACAATCTTGTCTCCTGGAACAGGGTTAGATCTCAGAAACATGTTTTCAACGCAGACCTCCGCAATTGATTACCCTAAGAAATTTGCAAGCTAGACGTCCTGGGGCTAAAGGACAAACCAAGTGGAGACCAGGAAACGGTTTATGAAGAATTCAAAGAACAGCTTACCAGGAGTGCAGAAGGCTGGTGCGAGACGGATCCGCCCTCCAAAGGCAATCATCCTTCCCTACCGGACAATCGCGCAGGGAGCTTAAACCGTCTCTAAAATCTAAAATCGTGCGCGGAAATGAAAGAGACAATGCGAGCTTGAGAGGTACAACGACATTATCAAAGATCAACTGAATGAAGGGATTATCGAACGCGACGACGAGGTGGTCAGAGAAGGAAGAGAGTGTATATTCCTCATGAAGCGTTCGTGCGTGGGAATGCAGAGACTACAAAGAAGCGTATTGTCTATGATGCTCCCGCAAGGGCAAATGCAAGTGTCTTCACACTCAGCGAGTGTCTCCAAATCGGCCTTACGCTACAGACCAGCTTTCGATATAGCCGTGTTAGTATGAAATGCATTCGATCCAGTGGCAATAGCCGAAGATTAAAAGCAAGCATTTTAGCAAATTCGCGTCCGAAGAGAAGACCGAGATACTTTACGTTTTCAATGGTTAAACGATCTGTCAAGCAAGCAAATAGAAACCATGTGACTCACTCGATTACTCTTTGGTTCGGCGCCGTGTTCATTCCTCCTCGCTTCACTTATCAAACAACGTTTACAGCGATACAAAATGGTGAACTCGAAACCAGTAGAGAAGATAAAGCGCAGTATGTCCGTGAATGATTTGATCAGTGGCGGGTAGACAACCAAACAAACGTTAGAGATCAAGATGACAGCCACAAAARTTGGTGAGGCGACATTGGAACTKAACGAGTGGCATTCCAACRTTCGGGATTTAGAAGTCGAAAGTATGACTTCAGAYGGCGAGAGTCAGGGGTATGTCAGACGACAACTRRGTACCAAAACGGGTGAATCAAAACTGCTGAGAGTCCCTTGKGAAAAAGACAAGRACAAAACTCAGGTCAACTTCCCSACTTCAACCACTGACCTAACAAAAAGGAGTATCCAGGGGAAAAGTCGCGATGATTTGCGATCCACTCGAACWAGCTTCACTCTTAACCMTCTCTGGAAAAATKCTCTRCAGAGATGCCTGTGATACACGAATCGCATGGCATAGCCCCTTTACTTTGTGACTGACGAGCAAAATAKAGGAAATGRGAGCAGCGTTTTCCAKAGCACKCGAACGCACCAAGAAACGTARTGAAACATGAAGAGAAAATCTTAACAATCGATTTAMACACTTTMGTAKATGCAAGCGGRAAAGGAGTCTCAGCTGCGGTTTATGCAGCTCGCTAATATAAGAAAGGACTCACGATTCCCCGTTTAGAACTARGGGTTGGACATATGACKGTAAAACTAGAAGGTTCTCCTTGAGAAGAGTTTCTGATTGGCTGGATAGCACAACAGCCCAGCACTGAATCAGATTGGATCCGTGGAAACGGCGAATACAAACAATTCGTCGAWAATCGAGTGAGGAAGATCCAAGAAAGAMAWATYAAATGGAGATAAGTATCAACACAAGAGATTTTAGAGGACGTARGGAGTCRAGAAGGATATTTTAGCAGATTGACAGCTCTTTGGTGGCAGGGACCAAGCTGGTTATCATAGCCACAGGACTAGTCGCCAGACATAATAACTGCATTAATTTATGAATCAAAATCGGAAGAACTAAAACAAACGCGAAAGTTGTTTGCCCTGGCGGTAGCGAAAACAGAGAGCAACGACACCTTTAGATGAGCTTCTCGAGAGACACGAGTTGTGGTATGTGTTGTAAGTGCCTGGATCGCGGGATTCCTCCTCAAAATAAGAACCTGTCGGAAACAGAGAGTCGTATGTCCCCTCACGACTGAAGCAATAGAGGAACAGACAACGTTCTGGATAGAGGGAGCTCAACAGCCAGCACCTTCGTGCTGGAAAATTCAAGAAGACCGTTTACAAATGAATTTGCAGAGAAATCGAGACAGAATATTAGGGTGAGAAATAATATGGCCATCACCCCACCGATTCACCGGTGTTCAGTGGCGGATCTAGGGGAGGGGCATAGGGGTGCCGCCCTCTCCCCCTTATTTTGGATCAAAAATAGACGCAGTTGGAAGAAAAGCTCACAAGTGAACACAAACAAACAAAAATGAGTCTCCCCCTTGTCGGAAACGAGAAGTGGCTTTGGCAAGTTATGTGTGACGAGAAGGTACAAGACTACCTAGCACATAAGGAAGTCAAGTGGCAATTTAACCATAGGCGCACCGCTTAGTGGGGAGGACAGTTCAAGCCCGTCATTGAATCAGTGACAACAGCTTTAAACAAGACTATCGGAGGAATGCTGACCTGGACAGAACTATGTGAAGTGGTCCTGAACATAGAGACCGCTTTGAACAACTGCCCTCTATGCTNTATCAAAGCTTCTGGACTGTTTATATGTGCGTCCAATCCGTGAACAACTCAAGCGTATTGAAGTGATGTTTGGTACTTCAAGCAAACCGATAGATATCTACGGCCTACAAATTCTGCGGTCTTGGACGCCGAGGTAAACAAAGTCGAGCGTAAAGAGCTGCTGACATTTCAAAACCAAAAATGCACAGAGATAGTGGCGCAATTTTCTTATTTGAGGGGCGTAACCACTGATGATAACGATAATCTGATCATGGAACAAACGAGTGCCCTAGGATCAAAAAAGGAACATGACCAAGAGTTGGGCGCCTGGAAGAACCTGTGGTAGAATATACGAAGTTCGGCTGGACAATCTTGTCTCCTGGAACAGGGTTAGATCTCAGGAACATGTTTTCAACGCAGACCTCCGCAATTGATTACGCTGAGAAATTTGCAAGCTAGACGTCCAGGAGCTAAAGGACAAACCAAGTGGAGACCAGGAAACGGTTTATGAAGAATTCAAAGAACAGCTTACCAGGAGTGCAGAAGGCTGGTGCGAGACGGATCCGCCCTGCAAAGGTAATCATCCTTCCCTACTGGACAATCGCGCAGGGAGCTTAAACCGTCTCTAAAATCTTGCGCGGAAATGAAAGAGACAATGCGAACTTGAGAGGTGCAACGACATTATCAAAGATCAACTGAATGAAGGGATTATAGAACGCGACGACGAAGTGGTCAGAGAAGGAAGAGAGTGTATATTCCTCATGAAGCGTTCGTGCGTGGGAATGCAGAGATTACAAAGAAGCGTATTTTCTATGATGCTTCCGCAAGGGCAAATGCAAGTGTCTTCACACTCAGCGAGTGTCTCCAAATCGGCCTTAGGCTACAGACCAGCTTTCGATATGGCCGTGTTAGTATGAAATGCATTCGATCCAGTGGCAATAGCCGAAGATTAAAAGCAAGCATTAAAGCAAATTCGCGTCCGAAGAGAAGACCGAGATGCTTTACGTTTTCATTGGTTTAATGATCTGTCAAGCAAGCAAATAAAAACCATGTGACTCACTCGATTACTCTTTGGTTCGGCGCCGTGTCCATTCCTCCTCACTTCAGTTATCAAACAACAATTGCAGCGATACAAAATGATGAACCCGGAACCAGTAGAGAAGATAAAGCGCAGTATGTCCGTGAATGATTTGATCAGAGGCGGGAAGACAACAAAACAAGCGTTAGAGATCAAGATGACAGCCACAAAAGTTGGTGAGGCGACATTGGAACTTAACGAGTGGCATTCCAACATTCGGGATTTAGAAGTCGAAAGTATGACTTCAGATGGCGAGAGTCAGGGGTATGTCAGACGACAACTAGGTACCAAAACGGGTGAATCAAAACTGCTGAGAGTCCCTTGGGAAAAAGACAAGAACAAAACTCAGGTCAACTTCCCGACTTCAACCACTGACCTAACAAAAAGGAGTATCCAGGGGAAAAGTCGCGATGATTTGCGATCCACTCGAACAAGCTTCACTCTTAACCCTCTCTGGAAAAATTCTCTGCAGAGATGCCTGTGATACACGAATCGCATGGCATAGCCCCTTTACTTTGTGACTGACGAGCAAAATAGAGGAAATGAGAGCAGCGTTTTCCAGAGCACGCGAACGCACCAAGAAACGTAATGAAACATGAAGAGAAAATCTTAACAATCGATTTAAACACTTTAGTAGATGCAAGCGGAAAAGGAGTCTCAGCTGCGGTTTATGCAGCTCGCTAATATAAGAGAGGACTCACGATTCCCCGTTTAGAACTAGGGGTTGGACATATGACTGTAAAACTAGAAGGCTCTCCCTGAGAAGAGTTTTTGATTGGCTGGATAGCACAACAGCCCAGCACTGGATCAGATTGGATCCGTCGAAACGGCGAGTACAAACAATTCGTCGATAATCGAGTGAGGAAGATCCAAGAAAGAAATATTAAATGGAGATGAGTACCAACACAAGAGATTTTAGAGGACGTAGGGAGTCGAGAAGGATATTTTAGCAGATTGACAGATCTTTGGTGGCAGGGACCAAGCTGGTTATCATAGCCACAGGACTAGCCGCCAGACATAATAACGACATTAATTTATGAATCAAAATCGGAAGAACTAAAACAAACGCGAAAGTTGTTTGCCCTGGCGGTAGCGAAAACAGAGAGCAACGACACCTTTAGATGAGCTTCTCGACAGACACGAGTTGCGGTATGTGTTGTAAGTGCCTGGATCGCGGGATTCCTCGAGAGAGTCGTATGTCCCCTCACAACTGAAGCAATAGAGGAACAGACAACGTTCTGGATCAAGGGAGCTCAACAGCCAGCACCTTCGTGCAGGAAAATTCAAGAAGACCGTTTTCGAATAAATTTGCAGAGAAATCGAGACAGAATATTAGGGCGTAGAGAAATAATATGGCCATTACCCCATCTTCCTCGTAGACTCCTCGCTCGTCACTTGCAACTCAGTTTACCGATGTTCAGTGGCGGATCTAGGGGAGGGGCATAAGGGTCCCGCCCTCTCCCCCTTATTTTGGATAAAAAATAGACGCAGAGGGAAGAAAAGCTCACGAGTGAACACCAGCAAACAAAAATGAGTCTCCCCCTTAGCTCAAGGTCTGGATTCGCCAGAGACACTGTACGGAGGAGTGGCCCTTACCATGACCAAAGTACGTGAGCTATACTAGGTACCGCGCTTAAGGCCACTCGTGAAACAAGTTCTTAGGGCGTGTTTAGGTTGTAAGCGCTTTCAGGTTATGGCACTGGCAACACCGCCCTCCTGGACTCTTTTCCACTCACCGTACAAAGAGGAGCACCCCATTTAAAGTTATCGGGGTTGATTTTGCAGGACCCATTAAGTACAGAGCCAAAACAGAAGGGAAAGCCAATCCTGCATTTTATGGATTCCTAAAGAGTTTAAAACGGCGCGCCGTGGTCGTCCATAGAAGATATTCCGACCATGGAAAAACCTTTGTCGGCAACGGGAAGTGGCTCTAACAAGTTATGTATGACGAGAAGGTACAAGACTACCTAGCAGATAAGAACGTCAAGTGGCAATTCAACCTTAGGCGCGCTGCTTAGTGGAGAGGACAGTTCGAGCACGTCATTAGACTGGTGCTTTAAAAAAGACTATCGGAGGCGGGATGCTGACCTGGACAGAACTATGTGAAGTGGTCCTGAATATAGAGACTGCTTTGAACAACCGCCTTCTATGTTATTTCGATGGCGACATACAGTTACCGGTGCTAACCCCTAACTCACTGTTATCTCTTCGATCAAATAAGCTACCAGAACTGGAACCACACCAGCTACGAGAATTTGATCCGCACAAGAGAAACAAGGATCTGCAAAGTGTAAGCAGGCTTTGTGGTCCAGATGGACAACCGAACAACTATGCGAGGAGAGAGAACGACACTAGATGAAACACAGGAGACGAACTACATCCTTAGCAAAAGGGGAGGGGATCATCATCAAGGATGAGGAACGATATCGCAACAAACGGAAAATTGGAATCGTGTAAGATCTGATTTGGGACGGGACGGAATCGTTCGAGCTGACAAACTTCCAGTGGGAAAGGAACACTCGAACGAGCCCTACAGCACCTCTACCCATGGAAACTGTCCTGCGATCGGGAAAATATACAGGCTCCCCTACAACGCAAACTCGAAGCCCCGACATTCCGGCCCAAAAGAGATGCAGTGGTAGCCGCACGCTGTCGCATTCGAGACGCGAACGTTCATATCTAGGAACACTGAACTGTTTTTTTTTTTTATTGATTTTCAAATTTAACGAGTGAGCAATTCTAGTGTTTTTTCTCAGTCTGAAGGAAAATAGCGGAGTGTGTCAGAGATTGATTAACGTCAATTTGACATCTGGTTAATTTGCAAAAGGTGAGATATGATTTGAACAAAAGAGCAACAGGATTATATTATATTTTTAAAAGTGAGAGAGGAAGAAGTTCATCATCATAAAACAAAACGAAGTTTTGGAAACTAGCAGACTATTTGGTCTCATTTCCGTCGCCCTTAGGCCCACTGCTTGCGTAAAACCGCAGTTTTGGTAAGACCTAGTGTAAATAACCTGCCTTTAAAGTCGCGTAAAAACCTTCAACTACATTTCACAGTTCTGTACTCTTTTGCAGTATCAAACGAAAGCTGTAAAGCAGACTTTTAAAAGGAGCTGGGATGTCGAAGGATGTAACGTGACGCGTGATTAATAATGGTAATTGAGCTGAGTGGAGTGCAATTTGGGCTGAAATCATACGCGTGATTTCAAAATCGAACGAGCGCGCAGCGCGAGTTCAATTTGAAATTACAAGTATGATTTCAGACCAAAATTGCATGACACGAGGTTCAATTACCACTTTATTACATCCATTTTAAAATCGCCCAAATACAGGACTTGGTCAATTCAAACATTTTATTGATGCAGTGCTGAGCCGGTTTTTAAATAAAAAGTGGAACCGGAAACGCGTTTACACCTTATTCTGTATGCAAAACAGAAAGACTTTGACATCAAGTGTCAAACACTCAGTCAAGCGTAAAATGATGCGATTTCGAGGAAAAAATGGTGCGATTTGGGAATAAATCGCACCAATTAGAGCCAATCAGATTACAGGGACCACCAGTGATTTCAAAATGGATGTAATAAAGGCCAAAATTAATTTGTGACACGTGAATTTACAGAATGGCGAGCGTGATTTGTGAATTTACGAACCTGCGTGAGGGGTGATTCGTGAATTTCTTCTTTTATTGTCATAAGAAGCCTAAGACTCCATAAACCTTACACACAAGGAGAGATATTTGAAGTTTTCCCCTTCTGTATTAATACGTAGAGCCATAATTTTTCTTAGATTCTTGCGTGGAAATAAATCCAACGAAAAAAGGTGATATTCAACAATAAGACGAAGTATGAAACCATTAAACTGTGTCCAGATGAATAGATTTATGTTGGCATTTCTGACTGTGTGTTCCATGCAGATAAAGGTTTGTCAGTTTCAGAAACTCGCTTTATTCATCATCAGTTTGAGATGTATGAAATTAGAACATCGGAATGTTTACAATGATTACTCAACGGTTATCAGTTTCAGAACTGAAAAGATTATGATTATAATGCAGCACAAAACTGGGAAAAAGCGAAGATTCTACACAGCTTTTCTACTGCTCACTCGTTATCAAAACGCTTTGGTTTTGATACGAAGGAAAATCTTTTCATTTCATTCAATTTGCATTCGCGTTACTTCGAGAACTTATATACCAAGTTTTCGAAATTCTTTGTTTGGTAACTGAATGAGGTCAGTTTCATTCGTAGAAAATGAAACTAAGAGGTAAAAATTAAAAAAAAGAAAACAGCTCACCTTTGGAAACAGAACATGCCCTTTTTTTCAGATCCTGATAGTGTGCCTTATGAAAACAAAAGTAAGAAAATGAAATGAGACTTTCCCAGGCAAACAGAGGTAAATGCAAATAGCTGGTTTAAGAACCTTTTACTCACGCGGTTGGTAATAAGAAATCACCAAAATAATAAAAACAAATATGAGATGGAAGAAAAATGGTTTGCCAGGTTGCCCATAAGATTCATCAAATAACATACGGGATCTTCTTATATTCCATCATCGCAGATGCGATGAACACGTAGCTTCTCCTTACAAAGTCGATATTCCATACAGCAATCAAGTGGTGAGAGTAAACAGATTCATCATTCAGAGGGCGTTATCCCTATTTTTAGCAAGTTTCGATCCTAAACGTTTCAGCGCATTATTTCTTCTGAAATAATAAATATTTAGTTGCTCACCTTTAAAGAAAAAAGATCTTCGGATAGGTAGGTGACCAAAATCAAAAAACTGATTTCAAATCTACTCTGTCAAGCAACAAAGAATACAAAGAGCTAGTGTGAGTTCAGATGTGAAAATTATTGGTAAAAGCTAATCATTATAAAAACGTAAGAGCGATGGAAGTTGCATTTCAGTTTGCCTTTTTCAAAGATATCTCAATAAATAGTGGAGCTCGCGTATCGTTGATATAAGAGTCTAGTGATTTAAAATTGCCCTTTGTCCGATTTCTTAAAACCTCAAGGCCCGGGTCAAACGCCGTACTCCACATGCGCCCAACCTAATTCAACCAATTAGGCTCATGTGAAGTTCGGCGTTTGACCCAATCAAGTTCGACTGATTTTATTTGGAGCCGCTGAGGCGTTCTTCACGCCTGGCCAGCCGTGAAAAACGCCTGAAGAACGACTTTGGGTCAAACGCCGATCTTCACATGAGTCGAACCAAACGCAGAATTAAACGATTATCAAAGTTAAGTCATGTTAATGTATGAATAAGCCTCGTTCACAGTTTTTTTCCAACATGGCTGCCTATCGCGCTGGTGTTGAAGATGATGAAGATTCTTGTATGTCGTGTTTGAACGCGACGAAATATCACTGCCTTCGTTGTAGAGTGCCGTTCTGCAACAAATGCTCACTTCCAGAAGAAAACGACGATATTCTAGGTTGGAAAGCTGGAAAGTTTTTTGCGTATTGTGTGCCCTTGCTCGAAAGAAACCTTCGAGCAAGGCACACAGTGCTCGACACATGCTGTCGGAGGAAATGGCGGGAAGGGAAAAAAGCCACGAAAAAGGCGCCATTTTAACTTTACCTTGAAAAACAATTGACCAACAAGATCGCTTTTGTTATTTGTTTGGTCTAGCAGCTCGGTTTGACTGAATTAAGTTCGAAGTTTGATTCAAACAGGCGTTCTTAATTATTTCAGTCGACCCAAACTGTCATTAGGTTCGGCACATGTGAAGTACGGCGTTTGATCTGGGCCTCAGTTACAGATTGAAGTAAGGTACATGTTACTTCTCTTTCCAAAATCAACATATTATTCAGTGAACAAGTGGCGATAAAACTGATCAGCGGAGGGTGTTTTCTTAAAGCAACACCAAATTCTCCCTACTGACTAACAAGGTAATGTGAAGGAGCAAGAAGAAAGAATTGCTGATGAGATAAGAAATTCAAATGGTGAGGTGTTTTGCTATCAAATCAAAAATTGATTTGAATTTGGTAAGTCTTCGAAAATATTATCAGATTTTTCGGAATTATAACTCTTTCATCACTAAATCTTCTCAAATTTTAATACGAAATATATATTTCTGAAAATAAAACCGAGGAAAGAATAATTATCAGTTAATTTAGTTGAGCTGAGCCAACCTATTTAAAAATAAACACGCGTTGTTTAGAGTCCTAATTGTTTGAATGATGAGACCGAAAGCCGTAATGCAAGCAGCTCGTGTGAGAACAAAGTGCTGAGTTTAATCAGATAAAAAAATCACACAAAATGTCTGCGACGAGACTTTTAAACCGTAGTTGATAACAACTTGGTCTGAGATGTATCAACACGACTTTCCGCGTTTCGCTCACGGTGATCATTGGAAAACACTGTGTCTGGCTCCCTCTTTAAAAATCAGAATTTGCAGTTCTTGAATTTGATTTCTGTGTGATTTGAGGTGGCGACGACACTTTTTTTTTCTTTTTTTTTTTTTAGGGTGAAAAGAATGTTACCTAATTTCTTCTTTTTTTAGCTGCTTACCCTTGAACAAGGAAGTGTGATGCTTTTAGAATTCTGATCCTATTATGAGGAGCCAAGAGTAAGAAACTAAAACAACGCTTTCCCTGAAAAGCAAAGATGAATAGCAATAACTTTTTGTACAAAATAAAAAGTAACAGCTTATTTTATGAAAAAAACAAAATCTGTTAGAAAACCTAAAACACAACTACGTTGCTTTTGAACTTCCTCGTGATTGCACTAAAAACATTACACATTTGTTCTTTTCAAGTAACAATTTCCCATTCACACATCATGTGGCTGCTTTTACTCTTTCGCTGCCATCCTCGGACACTTAAGAATTGTTTAACCTGCAATTTTTCCTTACAGTATCAATATATTCTTCAACCAACAGTTTGGGAGAATAAAGAAACATCAGATGGACGGTGTCAAATTGACGCAACACTTCATTCTCTAAGAATATTTACAGTGACATTTGTAACATTTAGAAAGGAGACTTAGTAATTAGATCATGGAAATTAAAGGCCTAGACTTGAGTTAATCATTTTATTTCGAAGACAATGATAAGTTTCAGGGAAGGTTTTTAGTTATAAGTCTTTGCCAAAATCTAAGATTATTTTGAGTTTTTTAATCTTTTACCACTAAATGTTCAGTCCAAAATATTTTACTTTTATAAGGCGAAAAAAAATTATTTCTAAATTTATGTTTTTACAACTAACCTTTTAAAAAAGAAACCTGTCTTGTTTGATATTCTTGTCGTATGACTGATGAAACTAAAAGTGAGAAACTGAAATGGAACTTTCTCTGCAAAACAAAGATAAATGCAAATAGCTTTTGTAAAAAAGATGTGAAAACTTAATAGGTAAAAATAAAAAAATAAAAGACATTTATAAACCAAAGAGGCAAAAACAGATACCAATTGTAAAGAGTAAAGTTCTAATTGTAAAGAGCCAAAAATGCCGTTTAGGAACCTGAAAATCAATCACTCTCCAACACACAAAATAAACTTCATTGAATAAAAATAGATTTGCCCGCCTTGAAATCATTTGAAATGTATCAATACTGTGCGATTTGTACATACTCTGCGTTACCACCAACACTGTAAAAACTTAAGCTACCCAGGACGGTCAAGGCAATAACAGGAGACGTGACCAAACGGAGATTTTATAGGGAGAAGAATCTTTGCTCTTGCGATGAACATTTTCATCAAAAATAAATGTCAATTTCTAATGGCCCTATCTTACTCATTCTTACATTGCGAACACCAACAATGGTTTCCTTCTTTCTCAATTTAAACCGACATTCGTTTTGCCGAAAATAATGGACCGTACGCGTGACGCGATATGTACATTTAACATTGTAAACTTCTCAGGACATTTTTTGTGCACAGATTAGGCATGTCCATTGGATTAGATTTTCACTGGCGTTTTGATTGTTTTCCAAGCGCTGGTACATGAATGAAACGTCGAATTTGAATCAGCACGGCAGAAGTATTGATTCTAATGCGCACGAGATTTGTTCTCCTTAGGAAATGAAAAAACTTTAAAATATAGAGGGATTGTATTCATAATGACGTCCTTCTACAGCAATTAATAATTTGCCAGTATATGAATCAATCTAGAAATGGTTTATGTAAGAACAGCTCTGGTCATAAAGGCACTGTAATATGCACTATAAAATTGGTGGGATGTCACGGTCGCATTAGCCCATAAGCACAATCATGAAAAATTATATATCGTACTTACCACGACTCTTTGAACCGCTTAGTTGCTTTTCAAACTGAAGAAGCCAACTTTAGAATTAGAATCAGCAGCATGTGTCTATTTAAAGGTTATAGGCGCGAGGCAAATCTCAGCCCACCCCTGAGGGGCCGAGAGAGAGTATGCGATGTAAGACCGGGAGAGGTTTTCCGGGGATCTGACACTAATAGGAGCAAGACCCTGAACTTACTCTTCGCGGGCTCATGTTCATAAACGCTTCATACGTTCGCGCAGCCGTTGTTTGCTCTCGTAACGCAATGGGGGGAGAAAGTGCGTTGCGTGACGAGACCAAACATCGGCTGCAAAGGAGACTAGTCTACAGTAAACGTGGCACCGATACAGTTAATATTTGCTTACGATTATGAAACCAGTGACAATAATAGATCACAAGACACTGAGTTTATTTCAGATGAATTGGAAAGGTTTTTTTATTGTGCTCTCCATTTAACGATAATTTTGTTGAAATCTTTCGAAAGGTAAAGCTCTTGTTCTTTACAAAAAAGGAAGCATCCTTTGGTTATATTTCAGTTACCCACCCATCCAAAAAACAACTCTTGCATGAGTGGCATGCCTATGTTTTTATCAAGGCTAAAAGCGCACTGCCCTCTTTTGCAGAATGGAACTTTGAAAATCATTGATAGAAAGAAAAAAAATTTAAGCTTTCCCAGATAACAATACTACATTTTTATCTCTGAATATCATTGCTATACAATTTTTTTTTTGTATTCCGTTACAGTTTGCTAAATCTATTTAGAAGTGGTTGTAAGATTTCAGTAGAATTTCCAGAGGTTGGCGTCTCTGTGTTGTTACTTTATATGGATTTCCTTCTACACTTGTGAAGCTAAACAGGATAAGAAAAATTGATACCTTTTAGTTCGGCTGTCTAATAAGGAAATATGTTAAGTTGAACTTAAATTGACCACCTGAAACTCACCATTGGATACCATTTAACTAGGAAATGATGTATCAGAACGCGGTATCCGAACTCGAGAGGGGTTTGGGTTCGATGCCTCTCAAGAAACTCAGATATTTTCTCAATCTCAACCTCGTGTAGCACTTCTGTTTCTTTTTTATTTATTTATTTTAGTTATTTATTTGTTTCATTTACAAGGGCAAATTTTTTATTTCTGGAACAGGGGGAGAGTATATTGCTCCGGAGAAAATCCAGAATGTTTATCTACGCAGTCCGTTTGTCGCGCAGACTTTTGTCATTGGAGACAGCTTTAAGGTTTGTTTTGATGACATTTTAAGCATTAAAGAGCTTGGATTGACACATTCTCCGTTTCCAGTCCTTCTCAGTTGCCATTATCGTACCGGACGCTGAAGTCTTAGAGGCCTGGGCCAAAAAAACCGGAGTCGAGTGAGACGTAAAACAGCTTTGTCAACATGAGGTAAAAAATACGTACAGAAGGAGTTAGGGGCGAGGGGTTAAAGGTGAGGGGTCCTGAGGGGTGAGAGCTGCTGTGTGAAGTGTAAACAAGCAAGAACCGTAATGTTAAGGTTGTAGCTAGTCAAATGGGGTCAAACGCCAATTGATTTTCTCCAGATATCTTTACTTTTTCATTACACAAGTTTTTTGTTTTTTGTTCAGTTTTGTTTTAGTGTTGTTTGTTTAATAATAATGATAATAATGATAATAAAGGTCTTTATTAAGAATTATTGTGCAAACAGACAATTAACACGAATAGAATGAATAAGGAAAAAGAAAAGGTATTAATTACTATTGAAAAGACAACTATTAATAAAAACTGATTTAAAACGGCTTGTCTGAACCTTAGGCAAAATATAATTATGCGACCTAGTTCTTAACTGCCGTGTTCTCTGGTGAGGTAAGAGATCGCTCAACGCAGTTTTGGTGGAATAGATCCTTTGCCATAATTTTTTATCTCTATTACAACGGATATCCAAGATACTGTGTTGCTTTAAGCAGTAACCCAGCTTATAACACCTACCAAAGAGCTTATCAATTCTACTTAAATATTTACTATAAAAAAGCACACCCCCAGACCTCAATAACATCTGTAAAAAGTGAAAGAATCAAACTTTGAAAAAGTAAGTCCAAATTCTCAATAGGGTAGCCATAATATTTACATATTCTCAAAATATACAACCTACTGCTAGCCTTACTAAGTAGATAATCAATATGAGTGTCCCAATTAACTGGCACTTGCTCAAAGGTAACACCCAATAGTTTCAGTTTTTCTTTCCTCCCTATGATCTCGAGTGGTTCAGGAGGCGTCTTGGAAGTCTTTCCTCGTAAAAGAAGTTCCCATGTTTTCGTCAAGTTGACTTTCATGCAGTTCTTCTCGGACCATTCAATAAAGGATAGGACTTCCGTTTCGGATTCATCTAAGCCTACATTTGCCTCGATTGGTAAACTAATAGTTATATCATTCGGCAACTAGTCCCCTTTTACCAAACCTTGTGTACAGTTTGCGAAGGTCATCGTAAGAGAGACCACTGTCAGCGATGTTTTGTGCCATTGATCTTTTAATTGGTCCGGTGTCGGTTACGTTCAACAAGTTGTCACTGAATGTTGGAAGAAGTTCATGGCGTTGATCTAGGTAGAGCATGTTTGCCACTGCGTGGGCAGCACTGATGACACTAGAATTCTCAACGATGTTTTTCCTGGAGAGGTTTAAAGACGATTCAAAGATAATTTTTCTCAGCGCCCTAACATCTTCTAAAGTATCATGGGCGTCGAATTGTTCCTTGAACAAATGGTTATAAATGCTGCTTTGGTTTAGTTTGCAGTATCCACCAGAATCGAGCTCAAGTGCTTTTGTGTTTGTTTTTAATCAGTTTTTTCATCAGATGTAGACTATCCGCAAAGAAGACATTCATGTCAGTAACGCCATCTTTGAAGTTTTATCGCTATTTCTTAGGAGAATAGGGACATCGAACGTTGCAGAATTATGACCAATTAAAACAGTTATTTGATTTTCATGTCGCTCAGATGACTTGACTTTAGTTATAAAAGTCAAGAAGTCACGAAGTGCTTCCTCTATCGTTACACTTTCGACAGTATTGTTTCCTTGGCACAATTTCCTTAGTCCGTTTATGGTCTTGATGGTCATACCATTGACAAGGTAGGCACTGTAACTTGTATTGCTTTTTGGGAGAATGTATGTGGAGAATTCATGTTTCCCATTTTCACCTACAGCAGACAGTTGGCACATCTCCGCTTGCTTCCCTGTGCAAGTCGTTTCTGTGTCAAAGATAACGAATTGGTATTTCTGTTTTGAGTCATATTGTAATTGCACAATCTTTGGCCTGATAGTATAGGGTGGTGTTATTTCTTCATATCTTTTTAGCTCAGTTAGTGATATTTCTGTGGGCATTTCAGATACATTTTGTGAAACTGTTTGATGATTTGGTGGATCCAAATTTAGACCTGCTGAAGACTCATAGGTGACCCCTTCACTGACTTCCCTCCTGAGTGTTTGTGAAGTTTTTTGTCTGGATAACTGGTTACGCCTTCTCTTGAATTCCCTTTTTTCTTTTCATTGTTTGGCATAAAAAAACCTTGTCCATTGCTTTAGCATGTCTTTCATAGAGAGAACCANTAATGCAAGTGTATTTAACCGAGCACATGACTTTGACTTTCCTTTTTCAGATTATCAATAAAGTTATATTCGAAGACATCTTGGCCAGGAGAAGAGAAGGAGATCTGAAATCATTGGAACAGGTTAGGGGGGTACAACATGTCGTTATTTAGTCACAAACAATGATGTCTGATATATATGGGGAATGCCCATTTTAAATGAGAGGAGTCCATTTTGAAGTGCTTTTGTACATGAGACAGTTTAACTTGGGATGACTTTTCTTTAACTTTCCCTTTACGCGGTAATGACCCTTAAGTCTCCCTGGTTACCAACAAACTTCGTTGTACCAAATAAAATTCTTTATATTTTGAGAACATGGAAGAAAAATTATAAAATTCACGTGTTAAAAACTAAAATATATTACTGTAATATCCTTTATTTCAAAGGTCAGGAAAATCTACCTTCATCCCGAGATGTTTAGCATTGAAAACGGACTTCTTACACCCACCTTCAAGGCCAAACGTTCAGAGATACACAACACTTTCAAAGACAAAATCGAGCGGCTTTACGAGGAGGTGGAGGCTGGGAACTAACGCAGATACAGGCATGACAAAGCCATCACGAGCTACCCCAACCCTTCGCTTCTTAAAAGCTACAAGAAATAGCTAGGAAATGAGACAGATCCTAATTAATAACTGATAAATAAATGATACAAGGACTTCATATCCGCTAAGTAAATGAACGTAGAAATTTTCAAAAATTATGCTGGGCTGAAAAAGGTAATTTGTATAGTGAAACCTGAAAAGAATGGGGAGAAAATATTCATAACTTTTACAAGCACTTTCGCATTATTTGTAGTGAATGAAGACAATACGTTACACCCCCCTTCCTTTACTAAATTTTTATATCAGCCAAACTATTATATGAGCCCCCCCTCCCTTCCCCTCCAAGGATCAGCAAAATCGCGCGCGACTAACACGCGTGTATGCGAGCAGACACAGGAGTAGAAAGCTCCATTAGGCTCGTGCACCTGTGTCGTATCGCTCGCACGTTCTTGTCGCTCCCGATCACTCATTACGCCTTCCATTTGCGCTATCACTGAGTAAGAATGTCACCCTGCATTACGCTCTCCCTACAGCTTTGGCCAAGATCCGTATACTTCTTTTCTTATTGCGCACAGTTCTTTGATTAAAGTAGACAGTACAATAGCGAAAACAAAAGGTTACCCAAGGGACTAAGACTTTGCCAAATAGTATGTAGTGAGACCGAAATTTTTCCCACTTTTGTAGCCCGCGAAAATATTTTCTTCAGTCTCTTTCTTCCACATCCCACTCGACTCAATTGATTATATATTGAATTCTTTTAGCACTCGTAGGAATGAAAACAATCAATGTATACTTCTCAGAAAAGAGANTTTATAAAAATGAGTTGATTTTTACGCCTTTAACTCCCATGAGTGACCAAGACAGAACTTCTTCTCATATGATCAGTACAATATCAAGGAGACAAGTAATGACAATGAAGAAAAATGTTACAAAGGGGATTGCTAGTTGATCCAAAACCAAATTCTCCGAACTAAAATCATAAGAATTGTATGGCAGATAGCAAAGAGAATTACTGATGAGGTCTTGGGAGAGAAAGGTTTAACTGATCTTATTTCCCCTCAAGATATCTGATTAGATTCACAACTTCATTTTAGCGTTCTTTTTATTTTAAGATCCCCTAGTTGCCGTTATCCAAAATTCATCTATTTATCGTAGCAATGTCGAAATAGAGCAATTTAAAATCCTTCTATAGTTTCTGCATTCTTTTCTAGTTGTTTAATTTTTAAAAAAGCAGTTACTGCTTTTTTTTTCTTGCGCACAGTTACCTTGATCTAACTTGGAGGTAACAAGGTAACAATCATCTACCTTATAACTTTGAGTATTCTCATTACCTGTTTTCTGGATGGTGTGAGGATATTATAGGGAGAAGTTACATGTTAATCACCCCTCGGTTAATGGAACTGTTAAAATTCCATGTTTTAAAAAATTTCGTGGCTTTCCAGCTTGCAAATTGTCGTAAAAAGTTTTACATAATCTTTCTGTAGGTTTATAGTATTTTTATCAGTAGTTTCTGATAACTAACATAAACAAATATATTTTCAGGAAGAGTGATGTTGTCAGAAAGCATTCATGGCTGGAATTCACTAAGTTTATCAAACATTGCAACAGCTTGCTTTATATGTATTATAGTGCGATGGTCTGTTATTACAAAATTACGAAAAGTGTGACAGAAAACTATTTATTTGACGCAAATCAGTACAACAGGACGACGAGAGAGGTTGGATAAGATTGTGTGAATGCTCAAAATTTATGCACGCCCTCGATCCTAGCATCTCAGGCTGTAGCCTTCCCAGGCCTTTAGTCAGAGGGGCGAGTGGCAGAGCGAACGAACGACAAACGGCGATTGTGGTTGTCAGGGAAACGGAATGAAAGGACTTTTTTTTTTGCCTCGCTATCGCAATTTTCGCGTGCCCTGATTTAGCTCGTTTCTGCTGACCGTTAGGCTGGCGCAGTCTAGCATCGCTAACTTGACTTCTCCAAATTTCTTTAGAGTTCAAGTAAGGCTGATTAACGCGTCAAAAATCCTTAGCTTTCTCTTTCGAGAGCTGTGCTATGAAAAGGCTCTTTGCTTGAACCCTCAACCGAGTTAACGCCGATTTTTACGATCCATGTAGACGAGGAACCTTTCTCAACTCAACTACGGACGCCATGTTTACAACGGAAGCAGGTTTTGAAAAAACCTTCAGGTGGTCTCAATTGTGCGGAATCCGTCGCGCTGAGGGACCTATCTTAAGCCCACAAGAGATTTAGGGTACGAACATTATTTGGCATGCGCTGAGACAATGAGATAGAATTGAACTGTACGCCATCTTCATTTTGTTTCATCCCGCATACATTGAGTAATTTTTTCGTAACTGTTGATAAAACGATGATTACATAGCATTGGTGCATATATGTCTACAAAAATGGACGTGTAATAAAAGAGAAATGAAATGTAATGAAATAGACTTCTTCAACAAAAGTTTCTCATCCTATCAGTCGTTTATATCCGATCGAAAAATTAAAGTAAAATTTTTCTGTCAAAAAGACAACGAGCAGTTCCTCCTTTTCGACGATGTCCGTCGCGCGTCGCACGTCGCTGATGTGTCGCAAGAGCTCCATCAGTTATGCTCTCGAAAAGTAGGGACAACGGACTTGGACAAAGAGTTTGACCTTGCACGGTTGAGTGGTTTTTAGGCGTAAAATTTCAATGAGTCAATTTCGATCAGATTTGTGTTCTTAATTACCAGTCAATCTTCAGGAAAGCTCAAAACACGGGTGATCCCAGAAAATTGAAACCACTTCAAATTTCGCAGCGCACAATAAATTGGAAATCTGTAAATTGTTCCAGTAACGATGACTCTCACGAACAAAACTCCCAAGAAAATAGTTAGGAAGGGCAGGCCGGGCAAGGGACCATCGCAGAACGACTTTTGCCGTTAAGCTACAAGAGAACTACAGAGTTTCTACCAAGTTTTGAATCTTGCGCCGTCTTTAATAGTAATATGGAAAAACATAAAGCTAGAGTATGATCATCCGCTATTAGCTAACCCATTTCACGCGCGAAGTCGAATGTCGTAAACTCATTCATTATTTATCACCTGGCGGGAAGCAGGGATCACACGGTTTTCAGGGGGGAACGTAGAGGGAATCAGTTGTTGCCAAAAAACAGAGTATAAAAGGGGGATCATGGAATATCACAAAGCCTTATAGCAGCGGAATCAGGTAAATATAACAAAGACAGAAACAAATCCTGCAGGTCCCCCCCTGCTAACCCACTCCGCGAGCGATAAAGAATGTTCGCTTCCTAAAATAATGTAAAAAGAAGCCTTGAAAGCGACGCCAACGAAAAGTTATATCAATTAAGTGTGTCAACTTTCCAATTAATGAATAACAAAGAAATTGTTTAGTTTGCATTGCCGTTGTTTGAAGAACGTTACTCTCGTTAATTAATATCAGAATTAACAGATGCGATTCATAGTAAGTAATAGTAGTAATAGTAATTAAAGTTTAATGTCTTTACGTAGTGCATGGTTACCCATATTGCCCGAGCCAGAGGTTCATGTATGAAACGCAAGACAACAACCCACCCATCCCACGGCAGAACATCCATCACACAGTAATCTCGTGAGTGGGAAATTAACGTCTCCTACCCCTAACCCTGCAGGAGACGGGACCTCCATTTATTCGTCCCTATCCGAGAAGACTAGAATATCTAAACCATTTCTTAATTTTATAGAAAGGCAGCATATTCTCCTCAATTATTTTAAGACCTTGACTGTTGGTCCGGCCGGAGCTCGAACCTTCGACCTCCCGCACATCAGTCCAATGCTCTACCATTGAGCTAACCGGGAGGGGGTTAAATAATACCTCCGAAGAATGAGACATTTCCGAGTCTGCTCTAGTTATATGCTTTCTTGAACGCACACAATGGAAAACACAAAGTTTTGTTTTTCAATAAGGGCAAGATCTTTGTTTAACACAAATCGTTTGCATTCTAATTTATTCCTTGCCGTTTTATTGTCGTGTTAATTAACCATTTCGACTGACATCGATCGAGTTTGCGAAAGTTTTCCGTGTTGGTGGCAAATGGCTGGAATTTATACGAAAGGTACGTGAGAACTCAGCTCATTTATTGTCAGTTAACTGAGAAAGTGATAATTCTAAGAAAAGAAACATATTTTGCATCAACAGAATATTTAGGCGAACGCAAAGTTAACTGTGCGCTTACTTGGCATAACTGAAGGGACTAGCTTACCGTTAACTCGCCCTAATAGGACGCCTGCACCGCAGGCTCAGTCTGTATCTAATTACTCCAGCGATCCTAAACTTGACATTAAGAATTAACGTAGACATTTTCCTCGCGTATCTTTCGTTGTTTGTTTTACGGAGTTAGTTGTTTTTTGTTTCTTGACTTTTCGTTCAAGCCAATTAGTTATCCCTCAGTTTGGAGTTTTAAGAAATTTATTAGTTTTTATCTAATCCGAATATTTTGGTTATTTTAACACATATTTTATTTCATAAATGTTTCGACGGAAGTTGGACCCTAGCCTTTTTTTTTTTTCATTGTTGGATTTTTCACACATTACTTGCTTGTTTGGTAATGTATCAAATCTTGACCCTTAATCCCAAGATCTGATTGTTAATTCTCCCTTCTGGCTGCTATACTTTTCCTTTTAAAGAAGCTTCGAGAATTAAGAGTTAGAACAAGGTAAGAACTTTTACTAGATAAGTTTGAGTAATTTCGTTACCTGTTTGCTGGATAATTTATGGATATTACTTGGAGAATTTACATGTTGATCACTTGTGGAAATTAGGGGGTTAACGAGATGTTAAGAGCTGATAATCAAAGAGAAAAAGGTTGGATGCGTGCAAGCAACATATGCTGAAATTCAAACATAGGTACAGCTCTGTTCAAATGAATAATTTCGATACGGTATGCGTCATTGTGTTTCTTTTTACTTTGTACTCGATTTTAGATTGTGAAACGCAGATATCGATAATGAACGAATACTTAACTGTCGCAGGGTTCTGTTATAACATATATTGTTTGCATGTGTTAATTATTTTATAATCTAATTCATTGCCCAGCTCAAACGAATGTAAAACATTTATCATTTAATAACTAACCACAATTGGGGTGTGTCAACACGAGTCGTATGCGACCTTCTTCATCATGTCTTCATCAACAAAATTGATAGGAATGGTACATCAACAGAATGAAAACTCGGAAAGTCTAAGACAGTCTAAACAATGTTCGTATATACAAAAACTACTTCTAAGAGAAACTGATAGCCCCTAGTCACTAGGTATTTAATTTTGAGGGCGTAAGGACGGTCGAATGAAAATAAATGACAACAGCTTGAATATGTAGCCTACCGCTAATGAAGCAATTGTAACAACATACCATGTAACACCCCAAAGAAAGGGTTATGTAACCCTTTCTTTGGGATGATTAATACATTTCTTTCTTTTTTCCTTGTAGTGAGCTTTAACTGATCTGGGTTGTCAGATGTTCTCAGTGATTTCCGTGCCAGTGTATGATACCCACGGTGCTGAAGAATGTATCTACATCATAAACCATGGTGAGTAATTGATATCATGTGCAAGACAATCTTCATCTTTGAGCCACTCTAATGTAGGGCGCGGCTG